AGTTAGAATTATTTAATAATTAATATAGCTTTATTTTATAGTTAAATAAGTAATTTTTAAATTATAACTATTTTAGGCTTAATTTAAGCTTTTTATAGGCTTTTAAAATCTGGATTTTAAGGTATAAGTTAAGCTGTTATACTTACTTATCTATTACACTTACTTATCAACCACATTAGTTAGTAGTATTTTTAGATTAATTTAAAGTTTAAAGGCTGGAATTTTTATTATACTTACTTATCTATTATACTTACTTATTAACTATATTAAGCTAATATTACCTTATAAATTAATACTAAGAATATAACCTCCTAGGTAATTAGGTTATTATAATAAGTAAAAATAAATAAATAAATAACTAACTAGGCCTTAATTAGCTAAAGTATTTTAATTAAGTTATAATTATTTAATTAATTAATACCTATTATCTCTTAATCTTTAATAGTTATAAAAACTATTACTTTATTAATTTTAAGAAATACTATAAGGAGAATAAAATTATTATATTTTAGATACTAGCTTATACTTCTTATTTACTTTAGCCTCTTAATATTAAGTACTTTAGGCTACTTAAAAATATATATAATTAATAAATAAAGTATTTAATAAGATATTTTATAACTTATATTTTAAAAATTAAGTTCTTTTTTATATTTTATATTACTTAGAAAGCTACTTTTACTAAAAGTAATATATAAGGGGGTTTTAGAGGTATTAGATTTACTCCTTTTAACTTAGAAAATATAATCTTAAAGCTTAATATATAGCTATAAATCCTAATGCCTACTAAGGAGGATATAAAACTATTAACCCCTTAGGCTTTAAAGACCTTAAATATAATATAAGAGATAAAATCCTAGTCTAAATATCTTATTAAGCAAATTTAGTAATATTATAATAGCTCTCTAAAGTTAATTCTTAAAGCTTTTTAATCTCTTTTAAAGAGAACTAAGGTAATTATATATAAGGTTGCCTTATTAATAGCTAAGAATAAAGAACTTTAATAAGTAAATAAGATACTAAGCTAATACTAAAGGTAAAAAAGAATTAAATTATAGAAAGAAGAGGTAATAATAATATAGAAAGTATTATAAGTAATTAATTAAATAGATATTAATATAACGTGGTTGATAAGTAAATGCAATAGATAAGTAAGCGTAATAATCTTATTTCTACCTTAAATCCAGTTTTTAAAGAATTCTTTAAAAATTCAAATTAAATCTAAAATACCTATAATTTTAATAGCTTATATATAAGTCTTAAAATAAGTTAAATTATTTTTCTTAGAATTTTAAAAAAATTCTATATAGCTCTAAACTTTAAAGTCTATTTACACTATAAAATA